TATTTATCACCTTACTGAACAAAATTCATCAAGGGACCAAACCAATCCTATTACTAGTTTCTGAGAGATACAGATTGCTCGTTTTGGAAAAGATCCTCGCACAAAACATATGAAAATGGGCATCGACCGACTAGCCTAAAAATTCAGTATGATATGTTTCTCGCCTTACTGAACAAATGTTCTCCTGGTGCCAAAGTAATCCAATGATTAGTTTTTGAGAAATAGGACGATACAGTTTGCTCGTTTTGGAAAAGCACCTCGCACACAACATTTAAAAATGGGCCCTGATCGACTAGCTTAAAAATTCAGTATGATATATTTATCACCTTACTGAACAAAATTCATCAAGGGACCAAACCAATCCTATGACTAGTTTCTGAGAGATACAGATTGCTCGTTTTGGAAAAGGACCTCGCACATATAAAAATGGGCACCGATCGACTAGCCTAAAAATTCAGTATGATATGTTTCTCGCCTCACTGAACACAATTTCTCATTGTACCAAAGCAATCCTATGAATAGTTTTTGAGAAATAGGGGAATGAAGGTTGCTCGATTTGGAAAAAAGATCAGTGAGTTCTGAAAGAAATATTTCATGAGTATTTGGTAAAAAGTCACGTATACGGAGTATAAGTACAATAACAAAAATAAACTCACTGTAAATTCACACTGTAAATAAAGTAAATTTCAAAATTGCCTATCCAACTCAAAAAGCATGGTACGAAGCTGTTCAAATCGGCAAGAATTGCAAGTTTTGTAAACAGGAAGATTGACTTTTTTTTGCAAATTAATAGGTTACACTAAAACAAACAAACAGCAATATCGGAATTGTCCATATTACTTTAATTTACGGTGTTTTCGAAATGCTACCGAGGCTTCCCGAGTGCATGCAGATCGTTTTCTAAGGTCCTTCGTGATTTCTTTATTTTGGGCAAGACGAAATGTTAGTATATAAATGAATATATGTCAATAATTAAAAGACTGCCGAGGTAGCCGAAACGTCACTAAACTAATCCATTCAGCATCTGTGGTTCCATGTATTGGCCAGTGTAAAGTAGAAGTATAAGTTGCAACAACTTAAAGCAATGTTCACACTTGTGCGTTTTCCCATTCATCTTCAAAATAAACATGACCTTGATTTGACCTTGCGAAGGTGATAATAAAAGACAAAGCAACTTTTCCGACCTTCTCATAGATGGCGCTAGCAAGATTTTCAATCCATTTTTTCATATGGACGCTATATTAGATTTTTATACTGGTGAATACTTATTAGTCATAACATTAGTTCAGCAAAACTAATATTTTGAGCTGGAAAATGGAACCCAAGCATTAAATTGACATCGAATTCGGAATATATGCACCCATTCTTCCAAAAACGTCGCGTATAATAGTAAGAAACTTTTTGGAACAAAATTCAATGGGAACGTTTTTTTATCATACCAAAGAACTGAAGACAAAAACATCGCGTGATCTTTAAATCAAGATAGAAATTTTATGTACATACCGGCTTTTATTCACATGCAGGATATGTGCATTATCACGCGTGATCGTAAAATTTATCGACGCATAAAAATTTATTCGAATTTAACAGTCCACTCTGAGAAGAGGAGATAGCACCGCATGATTTTGCATACATAACAGCACAACACAGGTGATTCATTCTTTGTTCTAAAAATAAGTTTTACGACGGATAAAGTTGACTGAACTAAACGTAATCAAACGTTGTGTTATCGATCACTTCAAAATCGACAACGCATCTATGTTTTTTTTTAAGTTGTTTACGTCTGGTAGGTGTTTCTTTACTTTCGCAGGGATAAACAAATAATGACTCTTTCGGGGCGTCGACGGGGTGACAAGACGGAGGATTCACTCGGCATCTCAATTGTGTGAATCTTTTCAAAAATATCATATTCCTTAGTGGTTTACTATCCCTATTTAGATATTAAAATAACAAATCGTATTATGAATACATGTTGCAGACTTGTCCTCAAATGGATGAAAATTGATAAAATGTATAAATACCAGCTTCTAAGTATGACCCATAGAGTTCTTTATTCAAAAACACCGTTAAATTTTGTAATCAAATTCATTCGTAGGAGAAATATGCATGGCATTAATATTAGATATAGAGAGACTTTTTCAAACCCATGCCACAGCACATCACGCGCACTAAAATTAATTAACTGAATTTAGTTAACTAAGCGTAATTAACTAAGTCCTATTAATTTAAATCTGAGAACGCTTTCATATTTATTAATTACGCGTACTAAATAATCAACTAAATTTAGTTAACAAAGCCAAGTTAACTAAATCCTATTAATTTAAATCTAAGAACGCTTTTATATTTAATATTTACGAGTACTAAATTTAATTAACTAAATTTAGTTAACTAATCCTAGTTAACTAAATCCTATTAATTTAAATCTAAGAATGCCTTTGTACTTATTACTAACTAAGCCTAATTAGCTGAATCCTATTAATTTAAATTCAAGAACGCGATTATATTTATAACTTACGCGTACTAAATTTAATTAACTAAGTCTAGTTAGCTAAGTCCTATTAATTTAAATTTAAGAACGCTTTTAAATTTATTACTTACGCTTACTAAATTAAACTAACTAAATTTAGTTAGCGAAGCCTAGTTAGCTAAATCCTATTAATTTAAATTTAAAAACGCTTCTACATTTATTATTTACGCGTACTAAATTTAATTAACTAAACTTAGCTAACTAAGCCTAATTAGCTGAATACTATTAATTTAAATTTAAGAACGCGATTATATTTATTACTTGCGCGCACTAAATTTAATTAACTAACCCTAGTTAGCTAAGTCCTATTAATTTAAATTTAAGAACGCTTTTATATTTATTACTTACGCGTACTAAATTAAGCTAACTAAATTTAGTTAGCGAAGCCTAGTTAGCTAAATCCTATTAATTTAAATTTAAAAACGCTTCTACATTTATTATTTACGCGTACTAAATTTAATTAACTAAATTTAGCTAACTAAGCCCAATTAGCTGAATCCTATTAATTTAAATTTAAGAACGCGATTATATTTATAACTTACGCGTACTAAATTTAATTAACTAAGCCTAGTTAGCTAAGTCCTATTAATTTAAATTTAAGAACGCCTTTATATTTATTACTTACGCTACTAAATTAAACTAACTAAATTTAGTTAGCGAAGCCTAGTTAGCTAAATCCTATTAGGTTAAATTTAAGAACGCTTTTACATTTATTACTTACGCATACTAAATTTAATTAATTAAACTTGGCTAACTAAGCCTAATTAGCTGTATCCTATTAATTTAAATTTAAAAACGCGATTATATTTATAACTTACGCGTACTAAATTTAATTAACTAAGCCTAGTTAGCTGAGTTCTTTAATTTAAATTTAAGAACGCTTTTATATTTATTACTTACGCGTACTAAATTAAAATAACTAAATTTAGTTAGCGAAGCCTAGTTAGCTAAATCCTATTAGGTTAAATTTAAGAACGCTTTTACATTTATTACTTACGCATACTAAATTTAATTAATTAAACTTGGCTAACTAAGCCTAATTAGCTGTATCCTATTAATTTAAATTTAAAAACGCGATTATATTTATAACTTACGCGTACTAAATTTAATTAACTAAGCCTAGTTAGCTGAGTTCTATTAATTTAAATTTAAGAAGGCTTTTATATTTATTACTTTCGCGTACTAAATTAAAATAACTAAATTTAGTTAGCGAAGCCTAGTTAGCTAAATTATATTAATTTAAATTTAAAAACGCTTTTAAATTTATTACTTACTCGTACTAAATTTAATTAACTAAACTTAGCTAACTAAGCCCAATTAGCTGAATCCTATTAATTTAAATTTAAGAACGCGATTATATTTATAACTTACGCGTACTAAATTTAATTAACTAAGCCTAGTTAGCTAAGTCCTATTAATTTAAATTTAAGAACGCTTTTATATTTATTACTTACGCGTACTAAATTAAACTAACTAAATTTAGTTAGCGAAGCCCTGTTAGCTAAATCCTTTTAATTTAAATTTAAAAACGCTTTTACATTTATTACTCACGCGTACTAAATTTAATTAAATAAACTTAGCTAACTAAGCCTAATTAGCTGAAAACTTTTAATTTAAATTTAAGAACGTGATTATATTTATAACTTACGCGTACTAAATTTAATTAACTAAGCCTAGTTAGCTAAGTCCTATCAATTTAAATTTAAGAACGCTTTTATATTTATTACTTACGCGTACTAAATTAAACTAACTAAATTTAGTTAGCGAAGCCCTGTTAGCTAAATCCTTTTAATTTAAATTTAAAAACGCTTTTACATTTATTACTCACGCGTACTAAATTTAATTAACTAAACTTAGCTAACTAAGCCTAATTAGCTGAAACCTATTAATTTAAATTTAAGAACGCGATTATATTTATAACTTACGCGTAATAAATTTAATTAACTAAGCCTAGTTAGCTAAGTCCTATTAATTTAAATTTAAGAACGCTTTTATATTTATTACTTACGCGTACTAAATTAAACTAACTAAATTTAGTTAGCAAAGCCTAGTTAGCTAAATCCTATTAGTTTAAATTTAAAAACGCGATTATATTTATTACTTACGCGCACTAAATTTAATTTACTAAATTTAGTTAACTAAATCCTATTAATTTAAATGTAAGAACGCTTTTATATTTATTACTTACGCGTACTAAATTTAATTAACTAAATTTAGTTGACTAAGCCTAGTTATCTAAATCCTATTAATTTAAATTTAAGGACGCTTTTATATTACTTACTCACGCGTACTAAATTAAACTAACTAAATTTAGTTAGCTAAGCCTAGTTAGCTAAATCCTATTAATTTATATTTAAGAACGCTTTTATATTTATTACTTACACGTACTAAATTTAATTAACTGAACTTAGCTAACTAATCGCATTTATTATATGTAATTATTATTACTCTATATCAGGCACCAAACACTCACCATAATGTGCGTCTTGTACGCAAGCGCCCCATCCTGCTTGCTCTTGGCCATCAACAGCACCTTTTCGAACAAAAAGACGTGCCTGCGTCCCCTAGCCCCTACGACCCTAAATGTCCCCTCGGCGATCAATTCCCCGAGCGACGTCAAATCCCTGCCTGGCCAGCCGTACAGTTGCGCTTGGATCTCCTGCACCCTGACAGCATGTTCGTGTTTGCGTTTCATGTTGTTTATGTCCGACGCGATGCCCGTCATTGTCGTCAACGCCAGGTCGACGGCGGGCTTGTGCGCGCTCGCGCACTGCTTTGACAGACGCTGGAGATAAAAAGTGAGGTTATGGGACCAGTTGTAAATCTAGGTTGACGATAAGTGAGGTTATGGGCCCAGTATGGTATTTTTCACGATACTCCATTACGTCAAATGTAACAGCAAATAACAGCTGATTATCTGGTAACATTTCAAAACAAATGACACACGATTCTGATGGTGTTCGTAAGTGAGGTTATGGGACCAGAAGTATTGCAAGGTGGGTTGGGTTCTGGCCACGACGGTACAGTTGAGGTTTTACAAAACATCTTACCTGCAACAGCAAGTGGTACTTGAGTATCCTCTGCACGGGTTTGAGCAAGTACGATCCGAGAGGCAGCTTATGTCCAAGTGCTATCTGTCGTTCCCTGAACAGGGCGGCCATTCTGTCATCGTTAGTCAACCTGCTGAGCACCTCCATGGTACGTGGGTACGATGTGCAGTACTGGGTGTAAACTGAGAAGCCGTTGTCGTGGATCAGGAAGCAGTTGGCCGTCTCTGTCGGATCACATTCTGCCTTACGGAGATCTTCTAGAAACGATCTGGAATGGTGAAAAGGTAGTTGGTCCTCTTAATAAGTACAAAAGGTACGTTTTGCAGTTTACAAACGGACGCAGGAGGCTGCATGTTACTGAACGTTGAGACATGTCCATGAGTGCATAGTAGCCGCCAGCAGCAGGTCTGTAGATTTGGTTGTTCACAGTATAAAGTACCTCGTATATTAGTCTTACAACCAAATAAGAAACAAAAAGAGACACAGCTACTAAAAACCAAAACAAAATCTCCATACGAAGCACTGGCACACGTTTTTTGATCGCCTTGAACCACATACACCAAGAGGATAAATCAAAATGTATTCATAATTAAATGGACTAATTAAACGACTATTATCCGATTAAAACGATTAAATCCTGCTTAGAGAGAAGAGGCATTCGACATCTGCTTTCAATACAGACGGCGCCAGTCTATTTTCGATAGACTTGACAGCTTTACGAGAAACGGTAGTTGTTAAAATTGATCCGTTCAGAAGCCGATCATAGTTTTATTATGTTCGTTAGACGCGAAGTTTCACCAACGTTCGCTTAAAATGTACGCGAAATGTCGTGGAAAAGGATCAGCGGCTATTTTCGGCATTGAAAATAATACAAATTTCAAGTTAATTGTTGCTAACGTTTAACTTTTTCATTGGCTTTAATTTTAACAAACACAAAATAATATCAAGTTGCCTTTGGACACAGAAGTTTCTTTACTTGTCTACGCACTATTCAAAGACTGATAAACGGTTGTCCAATAGGGACGCAGGAAAGTAAACGTCAATTTGACATAGACGCCATCTTTGTTTTCTGTCACCGACATGTCATTTTGTTAGTTGAATGTTTACTATTGATCGCTACGGAGTCGTATTCGATTGAAGACCGCATTAAAGTTATTCAAGAGCACTACAAAAATGGTGCAAACATAAAAAACACGTATCGCGCGCTTCGTGAACATTTCGGTCGCAACAACCGCCCAAACGAAACGACCATCGGTCGTCTGGTGCGTAAATTCGAGGCAACAGGTTCTGTGGCAAATCTGCCAGGCTCTGGCCGGCCAAGGAGCGTTCGCACACCGGAAAATATTGCTGTTGTGAAGGAGAGTGTGAGAGACGATCCGAAACAATCAACAACGCGTCGACTTTTTCGAAAATGCGGCCGGGGACGCCGTTACCGTCAATTCTGAGCGATATCACGTGATGATAGAGGACTATTTTTTGCCGCAACTTGAAGGAATGGATATGGACGATGTTTATTTCCAACAAGACGGTGCAACATGCCACACAACCAACGTCAATATCCATCGATTGCAGTCCTTCTTCGGTGATCGCGTGATTTCGCGCAGAGGAAATGGGTTCTTTTTATGGGGATATTTGAAAAGCAAAGTCTACGTCAACCAACCAGCCACCCTCCAAGAACTCAAAAACAACGTCATTGCCGAGATAAATGCCATAGAACCGAACATGTTGCAAAATGTCATTGAAAATTTCGACCATCGCGTGGACCAGTCGTGGTGAACATTTGAGCGATATTATTTTTCATACATAAATGGTATAAATGAACCTTCAAAATAAAGTACCCAACTTGATTTGAATATCAATCTTTCTTGTTTTAATATGCGTTTACTTTCCTGCGTCCCATTTGGACAACCCCATACAACTGATCAAAGAAAAGTCTCTGAAAACCATACAATAACGCAAACAGTTTGCTAAATTTAGATAAATGAATCAACACCCTGTATATTTTATAATTATGGTAGCAGATAATGATCCAGCCAGTTCAAGTATATTACATAATTCCGGGATCGTAACGATTTGGGCGTCAGCCGTCGTCAACCCGAAACCTGAACGACAATCCTTGAACACCTTTTAGTGGTACAACAAAGCACACTTTGCAGACTTACACAACGAAATATAACAACTGGTTAACTGGTTTGATTATTTGGGTCTCGGTCTTTCGGGCCAAACCTGCCCTACACGCGTTTCGGTCGCTATAAAAGTCAGGGCGAACGGTCAATTGATCACCAGTTGATACAGCTTGTCCATCAATACAACTCTATCTTCAAGTGTATCTACAGTTACATATAACAAATACCAAAATGGCATACAAAGTAAGTAGATATATTTTTTATCTGTATCGCACTTGGGATCATGATATACCCTATTTTCGTTTTCGAAATGCATCAATGTCTCTGTCAATTGAAACTGAACTTCCTCCATTATTTTACCAGCAAAAAACGTGAAAATGTTTATAGAGGGTGGTTCAGAAAAACGCGGTAATCTAGTGCTGAAAGCACATACAGGAATGTCGAAAAAAAATCCTATAATTTTTCTCCAAAAGGCGTGGTCCGAGAACATTTTTTCAAGAAAAGCGATTCATGTAAAATCGGAAACCTTATTCAAAAACGCAATAAATGTTTCAAACAAGTCAATGACGTGAACTGCCGAGGAAGTGTTGTAATCGTGAAAAATTTCGCAATTGAGTTATTGTTCGGTCTAGTTAAACTTTGTTTTTCGACTTTTTAGAGGCTCCAGATCATTTTAGGGGTTGAAACTCCATGGAGAATTAAATGATAAAAATCCAACTGGTCTGCGCTTGTGTCGTCACTGACACACCGCTACGGGAGAAATATTTACATATTTTAACACACATTTTTTCTGAATTTTATGATCCTTAAATACCTTTACCTCATCCGTGATGGTTCTCTGGATATATCGTCAAGTAGATTGTCTCAGTACTGATGACGCATTGATATACAATAGACACGTATAAATGAGAAACACGGACTCGTGTGATGTAGATATTTTTAAGCACAGAAGACTTGTAAAGCGAAGAATATTATCGCGAGTTTAATACTTCCACAGTTTGGGTAATCGTTGATTTTTTAAATCGATTCAGAGACGGCTGAAATGAAATCGCTGGAACTTAGTGTCACTAAGTTTCCGAGACTCCTGCTCTTTTTTAGACATTGTTTGGATGGGATGAAAATTGAATTCGTGCCAATTTACTTGTCGCCATGTTTTAAATTCCTAGTCTTTTTAAGGCATAGTCAAATCTCTAGCTTTGCTGTTGATACAAGTTCCATCGACTATATCAAGCGGTGATCTTTTGTTTTTTTAGGTATATATTGGTGTCGAGTGCTGTTCGAGGTTCAATTTCTATCTCCTCCGAAGATAAAGGAGCTACGACCCTGACGATTTTTGCGTGAGAAAGTCCGGACATCGGACTTGAAGATAGCGTCTTTTTTATTTCTTTATCCGTTTTCGTTCAAAAGTTTCGAATTTTTTTAAATTCCTCGACTACGTGCTACTTTCCGATGCATGACCACGTTTCCGGCTCTGTCTTGGCCTATTACTACTATACGTAAGCAAGATAAAAATTATATAGCGATTGAAAAATAAAGATATTGAGCTTAGGAAACGATCCTGACTGTTAAAATTTCGAAAAAGTAAACTATTAGCGCCTCAAAGGTACCGATTACAGCCATTTTTCGGCGTTTGTCTTCTTCGATACAGAGCTTTGTTACGAATCGAGATAGCTACGATTTTCTTTCGCAAAACGAAAGACCAAAGCCTCCTGATTAATCCGATATACAACACGTTAGCCGATCGTATTGTTTAAACTCGGCAGATTATAAAATTCCAAGGTATGCAGATATGCAAATAGAATTAAATATTAACAAACGAATTTGTTTCAGCTGGTGATCGCTCTGGCAACCCTAGCCTGCGCCCACGCCGGCTTCATCGCCCCAGCCGCCCCCGCGTTGGCTCTACACGCCGCCCCCACCGCCTACTCGGTCGCCACCCCCGCAGCGCTGACGTCGCAATCGTCGAACATCTACCGCAGCTTCGGCAACCTCGGACAAGTCTCGACCTACCACAAAACCGTTGATACGCCCTTCTCCAGCGTATCCAAGTCCGACGTAAGGGTGTCCAACCCCGGCGTGAGATTCGCCGCCCCCGCTTTGGCTGCTTATGCTGCCCCAACAGCGTACGCTGCCCATGCTGCTTATGCTGCCCCAACAGCGTATGCTGCCCATGCCGCATATGCTGCCCCAACAGCGTACACTGCTCATGCTGCATATGCTGCCCCAACAGCGTACACTGCCCATGCTGCATATGCCGCCCCTGCAATCTCTGCCCACGCCGCATATGCTGCCCCAGCGGCTGTAGCTCACGGACCCCTTCTAGGAGTTGCTTATTCTGCAGCCCCGGCTGTGTCTCATATCACTTATGCTTCCGGATATGCTAACTACGCTTTCTAAGTCCATTTTTTGTTTTTTGTATTTATGTATTGAATAAATATTGTTAATACGTTATTCGTTCGTATTATTGGTACTCCTTTAATATTCGACCTGTTCGGTACTGATTTGGTGTTCATACCCTGTACCTGTATACATTTCATAACGATCTACAGTTTTCATCAATTAAGGAGGGTTAATTACTTTTTTTCATTTATCTCATTATCAATAATCTACCTCCACATCAAAAATCTGGGTTTAGAGACAACGACAGTCCTTCTGTTGATACACGATGACTTCATCACACTTTTATTCCTCCCTGATTTTTCAAAAGTTTTCGATATAATCAATCACGAAGTCTTATCAGAATTGAATTATTTGCGACTTTCCGAAAAGATTGTGATATTTTTCGACACCATTTGATCGTTAGACGTCAAAAAGATTCATAGGCGATAAAATTTCATCACCCGAGCTGATAAAATCTGGCATACCACAAGGTTCTGTTTTAGGGCTACTACTGTTCACATCATGTACCGCAAATTTGACCACAGTTGTAAAATGTATTTATCATTTCACCTAAATAATCACGAAAACGCTACCTCACTTATAAACAAGGATCTAGAAGTAATCTATAATTATGCAAAGAACAATGCTCTTAAATTGATCATTGAAAAAAACCCAAATGATTTAATATGGCCCAAAGACGAAAACCAATTTTTTTGGAGGAAATCTTTTGTATGCCAAAAAAGACATGTTGACCAAGTTTTTCAAAAAAAAGGTATGTGAACTACTAGTTATTTATTTATTATTATTATATTTTTCAAAAATGTGTCTCGTCCTAGATCACATTACTAAGTATTTCGTATTTTTTTTTTGTTTCGAAATGCGATTGAGGACAAAAATGTGCAATTTATTTTGAATTCACGCCTCAAATAGAGTCAGAAAACAAATATAATGCGTTTTGAAAAAATAAAAACAACCCGAATATGGGTCAAAAACGAAATTCAATTTTTTTAAGGAAATCTCTTATACAGGGTTATCCAAATTAAGTGTCCACCATTAGTAAATCCAATTTTTTGAAGGAAGTCTCTTAAAGCAAACAAAAACATTTTGACCAAGTTTTTCAAGAAATTTTTTTGTAAAAGGCTAGTTATTTATTATTATTATATTTTTTCAGAAATGTGTCTCGTCCTAGATCACATTAACAATTATTTCGTATTTTTTTTTCAAAATGTGATTGATAATAAAAAAAGTGGCAATGTTATTGCGAAATTTATTTTGAATTCACACCTCAAATAGAGTCAGAAAACAAGTATAATGCATTTTGAAAAAATAAAAACAACCCGAATATGGGTCAGAAACGAAAACCAATTTTTTTGAAGGAAATCTCTTATATGAAAACAAACAAAAAAATATTGTCCAAGTTTTTCAAGATAATTTTATGTGAAAGACTAGTTATTTATTTATTATATTTTTCAGAAATGTGCCTCGTCCTAGATCACATTAACAAGTATTTCGTAATTTTTTTTCAAAATGTGATTGAGGACGAAAAAGGTGGCAATGTTAATGCGCAATTCATTTTGAATTCACGTCTCAAATAGAGTCAGAAAGCAAGTATAATGCATTTTGAAAAAAAACAAACAATCCGAATATGGGTCAAAAACGAAATCCAATTTTTTGAAGGAAATCTCTTATACAGGGTTATCCAAATTAAGTGTCCACCATTAGTAACTTTGTTATTAGTGAAAATACAAAGTTGTTTGAATTAGCAAACTAGTAGCATTTTTAACGCTGGTAAAAATGAGAAATAAAAAAAAACAATTGAGAGTCGTTATTTAGATTTTTTTCAGTAAAATAACATTTTTTTAAAAGGAAACCCCTGTATATTATATTTTTTTCTGTTAAAGCATCAAATTTTAAACAAAAAAGTTCATAATGACTTTTCCGCTAAAGTCAAAAATAAAGTCAAAATAACGATAAATATTTTTAATTATTTGCAGTATTATAATATTAAGACGGCTATGAAAACAACATGGCGTTCGCGATTTGACAGCATTAAGATAAGCGACAAATTGTTAAACTGGACATACTCGCAACTAGAAGGCTTTGGAAAACAATGATAAAATCAAATAATGTCAAACATTAGTGTAAATACTTGTTTATAAGCTTTATTGTGTCATTAATTTAAAGAAAAATGTTCTCCCATGAAGAAAAGTGTGATATGTTAGAATGCTATTTAGTGTGCAGAAAATCCTCCTCGAGAGCAAGAGAATACTACAGTGAATTATATCCCGCTCGCATTCAACCGTATGAACGATATTTTCTGAGACTTTATCGAAAATTTAGGGGCAACGAAAATGTTTTTGCTAAAACAAGGGCAAAAAAAGAATTCATAATAAGCGAGGCCACGGAAATTGCAGTTATTGGATATTTTGAAGCTTATCGTGAGAATTCAATAGCAGATATTCTCAAGGACTCTAATTTCAGTTATGGTACTGTTCAAAGGATTTTAAAAAAATACAAATTTATTCCGTATAAGTACCGACCAGTTCAAACGCTTTTGGCAGGGGATCCAGAGAGAAGACTTGTTTTTTGCCATTGGTATCTTAGCTTCTGTCGCCAAAATGTAAATAACTTTCGTTACCTTTTATGGACAGATGCATCAAATTTTTCAAATTCTGGAATGTTTAATAGAAAAAACCACCATTATTGGTCAAGAGAAAATCTTTTGTTAGTACATCCAAGAGGCCCACAAGTCCGTTTCAGTTTCAACGTTTGGTGCGGTATAATTGGTTCAAAAATTGTTGGCCCGTTCTTTTATGAGGGAACCCTAACTGGTGAAAGATATGTGGAATTTATGTCAGAAATTCTGACTAATTTCTTAGACGAATTGGATCTTATAAGTAGACATCATCTGCATTTTCAGCAAGATGGCGCACCTGCCCACAACTCCAGAGGTACTTATCATTTTCTAAGTACTACTTTTAATGATCAGTGGATAGGAACAAATGGCCCAATACAGTGGCCTCCCAGATCACCAGATCTAAACCCACTTGATTACTTCTTGTGGGGTTACTTAAAGAACCAAATTTACAAGCGAAGGTACGATAACCTTGACGAGTTAAAGACTGCAGTTAGGGAAAAGATAACCCAGATAGATGGTAGGACCATACTTAAGACAGTTCGAGCAGTTGAAAAACGTGCCCAAAAATGTATTGAAGAACAAGGTGGTGTTTTCGAGCATCTTCTTTAAAAAAAATTGTTATTGTATTTTGTAAGATTATAAGTTGATGTTGAAAATAAAGTTGTCGATACAATTTAATTGTTTCAGATTGGAGGCCATAACTTCAACAATTTGTAACCTAGGAGAAAAGTTATTGTAAGCTTTTTTGTTTAAAATTTGATGCTTTAACAGAAAAAAATATAATATACAGGGGTTTCCATTTAAAAAAATGTTATTTTACTGAAAAAAATCAAAATAACGACTCTCAATTGTTTTTTTTTATTTCTCATTTTTACCAGCGTTAAAAATGCTACTAGTTTGCTAATTCAAACAACTTTGTATTTTCACTAATAACAAAGTTACTAATGGTGGACACTTAATTTGGATAACCCTGTATGCCAAAAAAAACATATTGACCAAGTTTTTCAAGAAAATTTTATATGAAAGACTAGTTATTTATTTATTATATTTTTCAGTGGTTTGTCCTAGATCCCATTACCAATAATTTGTTTTTTTTTTTAATGTGATTGAGAACAAAAATGTGGCACGGTTTATGCGCAATTTATTTTGAATTCACGTCTGAAATAGTCAGAAAACAAGTATAATGCATTTTGAAAAAATACAAACAACCCGAATATGGGTCAAAAATGAAATCCAATTTTTTGAAGGAAGTCGCTTAATGCAAACAAAAACATTTTGCACAAGTTTTTCAAGAAAACTTTATGTAAAAGACTAGTTATTTATTTATTATTATTATATTTTTCAAGTATTTCGTATTTCTTTTTCAAAAAGTGGGAATGATAATGTGCAATTTATTTTGAATTCACGTCTCAAATAGAGTCCGAAAACAAGTATAATGCGTTTTGAAAAAATAAAAACAACCCTAATATGGGTCAAAAACGAAATCGAATTTTTTGAAGGAAATCTCTTATATGCCAAAAAAAAAACATTTTGACCAAGTTTTTCAAGACATTTTTTTGTAAAAAACTAGTTATTTATTATTATTATTATTATTATTACATTTTTCAGAAATGTGTCCAGTCCTAGATCACATTATCAAGTATTTTGTATTTTTTTTTCAAAATGTGATTAAGGACAAAAAAGTGGCAATGTTAATGCGTAATTTATTTTGAATTCACGCCTCAAAAAAGTCAGAAAACAAGGATAATGCATTTTGAAAAAATACAAACAGTCCGATTAAAGTTGCTGAAACGCATGAAGATTTAATTTTGGTATCAAGACAAATCTAAGGTCACCACAAACGTCAAAATCTATTAAGCCCCTGAAATGAACATTTCAAAGCTTCCATTTGAAATCCACCATTTTGATTCTTCTTTGAATTTCAAGCTGAAATTTTCGATTCAAATCCGCCATTTTGGTTTATAAAATTCCAATATACCCAGTGTCACTTGTACTGCTGAGACGTGCAAAAAACGTAAACATCCTTCTAAGGCAAACAGGTTACAAAAAAAACTATTCTGGTAGAATACTCGGAATTGTGAAATAGAATAGTGCCATATTCTTAGGTATCTAAATGCACAGAGTTAATTTGAAATATCCATATTTAAAAACAACGTATCACTACTCACCGGTTGAATTTGTAGATTTCTTCTAAATTGTTGAACAAATACGGTAAATGCTGAGCTAATGGACAGTCTGGATCGTTTCTCCACACCTCAAGATAGCCCTGCAACAAAACATTATCTTATTAATACAGTCATACTATTTTTATTCCTAGTTTAAACGGCAAAAATAATCCATTCTCATGAAAAGGAATTCTACAATAGATTTCAAACTTCACGCATAGAGAACTCAATCTTCCATCAACATTCATTTAGATATGTGATATCGTGCTAGGTATGGCACCTGCAGTATTTTATCTATCTAGCGCAAACACTATTTACGATATTTGAAAGTACCTGGTAAGATCACAATAACCTGTCTAATAATCTTTTCTAAATGCCTTGCTGAATACGATGTAGTACTTTGGACGCCAGACGTTTCCTATACCCACAATAACTGGACTATTTTTTATACAAAATGTCTAAATATCTTGGCGCCGCAGTTGCTATAAATTTTCCAGTTTATATTCTGTAACGTTGATGGAGAAATAACGAAAAAAAGATTTTCTTCAATCGTGCAAAACTAAATCAGGTTTTCTGAACGGAAATGACCCCCTCTCAACCCCTTTCGTTTGATCCGTGACTCTTGGGACACCCTATATACGATGCCCCAACATTGTTATGGTCCTGGTTTTTTATTCCTTTCAATTAACATACTATACTAACTAGCGTGTCTGTAGGTGTGAAAACTGGGAGCTTCACAAGACATATGACATATAAAAAATAAATGAATGGTAAAGTACCACATCTGTTGCACATAGCGCCGTTGATGGGAAGAAAGATAAAATATAGCCGACAGGATGCCAGTACGGCTAAAAAACTAAAAGGTCTGATGGAAATTGAATACTTGGAGATTTTGTTCGTTTTGTCGAGGGACAGTGCCTAGGTTGGAAATTAATTGACATAGTACCTGACCTGTTTTAACAGCATATGTATGCAAAAAAATATCTAAAATGCGCGTAGTGTCGTCATACACTGATAACAAAGACGCAACATTACCAATCTGCGATCTACGAGGGTTGTTCCAAAAATAAGGTTCCCGTACAGAAATTGGATTGCGCAATGGATTTTGATTTTGATCGCAGAGGAAGTTTACCTATGTTGGCCCCAATATAGTATTTGCTAGCGAAACAATTGAACATGCTATTACTTTTTGCGTTGTAGAAAAATCACCTTTTCCTAAAAATTGTTTATGGTGGATTTATTCGGTTTTGCTCCTCAATTCTTCAAGCAGCAGCGACAACAATTCTGAGCATCGATTGGTGAAACAATGGGAGGTGCCTTAATTGTGTAATGAATTTTTTCTGGGCCAAAGATGGGTTCCAACCGAACAAGCCTCGTATTTACTGTCAAGCATGTGTTCCTGAGTCTCTCCTACATACTGACAACAAGCATCTTAAGCGGATACAGTTATTAATTATAGAAAGGCTGCTTATCGTAATAAGTTCATTAAAAATTCCACATAAAAGCCTATATAACAACGTCCATTATCATGGTAATACGTACCCATAAAGCGCCTAGGCATCACGTTTATAGTCTTGGATCTTCACCGTAACCGATGCAAATGAACGTGTTCATCGCATTTTGCATAACATTTTTCACGTTAGCAATAATCGTTGGAGTATCGACGTATATATTGCGTCTCAAAAATAAGGTCCTCAGGCATAAGACAAAGTAGATGAACGCGCTGACAATGTTAGATAGACGCATAAAGCGAAATTTGCAGATAAAATCCTTGTCTGGTGCGCAATTTCTAACAGGGGTGTATCCCAACTTTTTGTAGGAAGAGCTTTGAATAGTGCCTTTCCAAATTGCTTCAGTTTGGTCACAAACATGATGCTAGTGACCATACCTTTTGTTCCCAAAAACGATAATCATCCAAGCTTGGGCTTTACTGTCTAGGTTTATCATGGAGGATGGAAAGCTCAAGATGAAGAACAATTCAGACGCGAATTTACGAAAAATTGAGAGAAATTGATCTGAATTGCAAAATGGGCCACTCTACTGTGTATCTAACGAAGCTACAAAGTAATCGTAAACAGTGGTTGATTCGTGATCAACGCGTGATCCTGATTGGCTTGTAGCGACGAGCCTCCAGACAAAGTCGCACGGTTGCCACGCTCGGCGGGTTTTTGCCAGAGTGGTTGATCACATTCGCATGGATCACAAATCAATCTGTTGGTGCAATACGTGCAATAACTGTTGTAAAGGACATTATATAACAATAAATGGCATCACAAAGGTATATTCCAATTTGATCTGCAGCAAATTATGAACGACATATACGGAGATGCGAAAACAAGCTCAAAAAGGTGAAGAAAATTTTTGTGCAATCTTTATAGTTAAATTTTTCCTAAGAGATAGCATCAGTGAGGGAATTTTTTTCTATTGTCTTATTTTTCACATTAATGCGATGTCGAGGTATGTGGCCCTATCGCAATTGAAAATAAGGTTTCGATAATCCTTCCATAAAGTTTCGATGAGTACATCTGAAATAACCTTGAGATATTCTTCAGGGAAATACAAAAATCTCCTTTTGTGTTTTTTTGTGCAGATTTATCTATTAAAATCCTATCCGCAATCTATTTTCCGTGCACACACCTTCAACCGAATGTATGCCATATATGATATTACCGTTTCCAACTTTCACCAAGGTTAATAGGAACCATAACAGCTCCCTACCCTTCCCCCCTATAAGAATATCGATTTGTAGCCTCACATTTCAAGGTTAGACTTCTTGTAATGTTTCTGTTCAACATTCGGCGATTTCTGACAATTTTCCCAATAAAACATGATCATTGTGACATTAAGCCTGGCAACGCTGCATAGTAGAGGGAACTCTCAGCGTCACGTTGATGGTTCGTCACCTCGCACAGGATTGTAATCAGTTACGGATACCCGTTTATGAGCGCGAACGTTTTATGCACGTCTTGACTTGATTTTTCTTGCGGAAATTTAATATTAGTCTAAAATGTCTGACACAGATACAGCTGATGAAGTGGTTGAAATCAGCTTAACGGCACCCAGAAAAAGGGCTAAAAAGCTTCATCTTAGCGCAGGTGAAAAACAAATTATTCTAAATATCTACAAGAACCAGATGCAAGAGAATAGTGGATTGGCTATAGAAAATATCGTATGTAAGGTTGCTGAAATTTCTGGAGTAGGTCGATCAAGTGTTTACAAAATCTTGAAGGAATATAGACAAAATCACTCACTATCTGAGCCAAAAACATATCCAGCCAGAAAAAAAATCATCGAAAAAATAGATGACTTTGACAAAAGTGCCATTAGAAGAAAAGTACATCACTTTTTCTTCAGGAATGAAATACCTACAATAGATAAAATATTGAAGCAAGTGAATGATGATGAGGACCTGCCAAATTTTAAAAGATCTACGTTCCATAAGCTGTTGAAAGAACTAGACTTTCGATTTTTGAAAAGAGGAAGGAATAGTTTATTGATAGAAAAGGAGGAAATTGTTATCTGGAGGAGAGAATACCTTAGAAAAATTAGGCAATTCCGCGCTGAAGGAAGAAAAATTTATTATTTAGACGAAACATGGGTGAACGCGGGGCATACGCAGGGAAAGGTTTGGGTAGACAGATCTGTGAGGTCCTTCAAGGCAGGCTTTTTTAGATGGCCTTTCGACGGGATTGAAAAATCCTGCAGGTAAGTTTCGAAGTATATGAACTTTTTTGGATGCAGATAATTCATTTTCTGATCGAATCAATGATTTGGAAGCTCCGAACTCAGTTTTGCTATCTCATCCAAGTTTCTGAGTATTCCCTTCACCCAAAAACTAATCTAAGACCCTATCCTACACTAACCTAAAAAGAGTAAGTTGCTTAATTTCGTCATTTAGTGCGCTCGCTGAGAAGTAAAATAACTAATTACTTTCAGGCAAGGGAAAACGCCTGATCATTTGCCACATAGGTAGCGTAGATGGATTTGTTCCTGAAGCATTGTGGGCATTTGAATCCAAAAAAACTGGAGACTATCACGAAGAAATGGATGGTAACTCATTTGAAAATTGGTTCACAAAAATTTTGCCGACACTTGATGATAACGCAATTATTGTGATGGATAATGCCCCGTACCACTCCAGAAAATTGGAAAAAATTCCAACAATGGCCACCAAAAAGGCAGACATTCAACAGTGGCTTGTCTCAAAGAAGATCGACTTCGACCAAAAAATGGTCAAAGCTGAGCTGATAAATATAGTCAAGCGACATAAGTATAAATATGATTTAAAAATTGTTGACGAAATGGCCAAAAACCAAAATAAAACGATTCTTAGGCTGCCTCCCTATCATTGCGAACTTAATCCTATCGAGTTGATTTGGGCCGACATCAAGCAATACGTGGCGTCAAATAACAGCACTTTTAAGTTTTCTGACCTTAAAAAACTGTTTGATGTTGCTGTCGATAGAATTACGCCAGCAAAATGGAGAACATGTATTGACCATGTCCAAGAGAAGGTTGAAACCAAAATGTGGGATATGGACAATATCATTGACACCCAAGTTGAACCCCTTATAATTGACATCAACAATTCTGATGATTCAAGCTCCTCGGAATACAGCATATAAATCGATTGATACCATTAAGACTGGCAGTTTAACGGGCTTTTTGGCAAGACAGGTAAGTTCATTATAGACTGCAATCAAAGTGTAAGTTTCTAGTTATTAATGTGGAAATTCCAAATTTATAATTACACAAAATTAGGGTTAATTTAGGAGTTCCAAGGCATAATAGTGCCATTTTGACCTTCTTCCTATTTCTCATGTAAATTTTAATAGCAATCAAACTAACAAACTTTATGGAGTCTGTAATAAACTTTTGTACTACTACTACTACGTCTGTAGTTTCTATTTGCTCAAAAAAATTTGCCCTGCATTGTGAATAGAAGGTTGATTTGTAAATATTATTGGGTATATATGTAAGTTAATAATAAAATATGAACAATTTCAATTGAGATGGTCCACAAGTTTTTTTCGTGTGCGTTTTAGTAACATTTTGCTGAAATGGTGAATACAGATTTTTTTGCACTGATTCCCAATGTCGA